CAACATAAGACACATCCAAATCCATGAGATTGCAATCAAACAAAATGCAAACATATTACAGATGATGAGGATTCAAATTACTAAAATAAAAACAGATCATAAATTATAGTATTTAATATATATGATTGTTTAATTATATTATGTAATTTACAAAAAAATATTAAAATTTTAAATCATTAAAAATATAAGCTTTTTATATTTAATAATATGTTTATTGATTAATATGCAATTTATAGAGAAAACTACTAATTTTTAATTATTTTAATGAATTTATATTATATATTATAAACTTAGGTAAAAATGTAAAATAGTGTAGTATTCATATTATGTTGTGAAAAAGATATATTAGTTATCAGTTTAGTACTATGTTTTTCTTAATTTGGTGGTACCTATATAAATGACTTATAGAAATTTTATAGTGACCCAATAATTGATCAACAAAACCAAATTTGTTTCACGTCATTAATTATATGTGGTCAACTGGTCAAGTTAAATTTTAACATATAAACATTGTTTATAAAATATACTATGCTATTTATACTATTTATAAATTAAATTAATTTTTTTTTTATAACAATTATACAAAAAAATTAGTCTCTTTTATAAACCGTACAATACAAAACTATGTAAGTACATTATATTATATTACAAGCAAAATAAATTTAATATTTGTAACAAATTCACTTTAGCTACGCAGCATTTTTTTTTTTTTGTAACATACATATTGAGTTAAGAATGATGGTGCAAAAAAAGATTTGCTGAAATCATTATTTTATAAGGTTATATCCTTCCAAAGTTTGCGATTTTACGTTTATACGCATGCGCACAATACTGTACTTTACTGAAGCGCAACGCTTATAAAGAATTTTGATTTTTTAAAGTATTTTAACGAGTTAAGAATAATGGTGAAATCAGCGGTTCATTCTGTTTTACAAGACACCCTTTTTTTAATTATTTTGTTTTAACGTATGTATCGAAATGTGCAGTAAAGTACGCATATGTGGTGATTTGATTGAATTTTAGGGGGGGCTTAAATTTTTCTTTGCAAAATAAGTCACACCCCCTCTCTAATATAAATATTACATTCAGTACGCATTAACTACTAAATTACCACTCTATTAAATACGCATTACATTACTAACTATATAATAATATAATATGCACTTTGGGGACGAGGTGGCCGAGCGGTCTAAGTCGTCGGTTGCGGCGCAGCCGTCGTTGGTTCGATTCTCGGTCACTGTCCGGCATTTTTCTTCGGTCAAGTCACGGTGTCCGGAGAACAAGTGACGCCATCCCCCACCCAGGGCATGGCAGACACCAATTGGTGCCCACTAGAAATTCTGCCACAACACACACACATGTACTAAACCTATCCAATACAACAACTCACCGTTCTAATTAAAAAAAAAAAAAAAAATTCACTTTAAAAATCATTAATTTATAATACAATAAACCTATTTTGATTAGCAAATCTATCAATAACGTTCTCAATACTGATATTGATATCTTTTTCAAAGTATAATACTGAAGAGTTATTAAATTTTTCTTGCAGCATACTTGTATGTCTAGTATGGCTTAATTTTGCACATTGCAGAAGAGCTTTGTTCACATCAGTGGCGGATATATCCTAGTTCTGAGGGGGGGCGAATTTCAAATCCACAGAGGAAATGACGTTCAACCCCTCCCATTGGGTGGTCCACCAATTCGAAAAGCCCAAGGGTGGGAGGGGGTGGTCCACCAATTCCCCCCGGGATATCCGCCACTGGTTCACATGTAGCCAAGCTGATTAGTATTGTTATGGCTACTTGAAGTTTGTATAAGTTGAGAAACACAATTTTAGAAATATTTTGTTACCTAACTGTAAAGTTCCAAGATTTTGTCAATCGTTGTAAAATAAGTATTAAGTACCTATTTTAACATTTTATATTTTGAAAAATGTTTAATGATTTGGGAGGCATTTGTATAGGGGGGCTATCCCCCAAGCACCCCTCAATCACTCAATCCTATGAAAGTTCGGCGTAAGGTACGTCTTGTGAGTATTTTAATGCATGTAAACGTAAAATCGGAAAACTTTGGAAGGGTGACCCTGAAAATGATTAATGAAAATTTTTTTTTTGCGCCATCCTTCTAAACTTTTTGAAATAAGTACGTGTTTCAAAAAAAAAATTTTAAAAATGCTGGGTAGCTAATGTGAATTTATGCCAAATATATTATGATATAAATATTAAAATGTATGGGTAATGGATATTGGGTATACTAAATATTAAATATTAAATTGTTTTGGAATTTTATAGCATAATTTAATATTTTTGTGTACCAATAAATAACTTTTGGAATTATCGATAAAAATATAAAATAGTACGTCTATTCCCATTTCCCAGCTACCACTCACCACTGTACTTGAAAATGTAGTATTTATTATAACTTGTTTAGTATTTTGTGTGTAAAATTATGTCTACCCCCCCCCCCCCCAAAAAAAAAATCCTAATTACGCCACTGTAAGATATATTTTTATTTTATATATATATATATCCATAGACTTAAAGAAATAGACGGAATCAATTACCCAGAGGGCTGGGAGTCGCGGTGGTGCCAAACGGATTAAGATAGATAGCCTGAGTTTTATCATAAGAGTGAGAGAAATTGTACCGTTCAGAGGACTGCTTTTACATGAGGATAGCTTTTACAGCGACCGATCCTCGTAACAAGCTCCACCCACTTCCACGCGTTATCCTACCTAATGTTCTGTCTATTTCTATAAGTCTAGCTAATACCTTATATCTTAGTTCGTGCCTACGAGACTCGACCGATGATGACCGAATTATTTTATATATATCTTAGGTACTCACGGTTATCTACAACATAAAGTTATCTTACTTAATTGACTTTAATAAACCCTCTGTAAAGTATACTTTCCCTCCTCACAGACGATATAAATAAACTCATAATAAATTCCCCAAAATTATTAACAAAATAAATTTATCAATATCCAATATATTATCTAACTCTCTAGTCACTAGAATTAAATATTATAAAAATAACTACAAAAATAACATAATCTGTATTTTTTTTCTCTCTCCCTCAGTTTATGTAATGTATACACTATTATAACTACGAATTTAGGAAAAAAATTCCCGAAAAAAAAAACCATTACTGTGGGATACAGCTGTTAAAAATAATAATTAATAAAAATAAAAAATATAAAATTTGAATGATATATATTATAATAATATTATCTTGGTCAGATAGTTTGCTTGAACGGGTATTGTATGGCTTTAATAAAAATAGTACAGTCAATGGCGCCCCAAGGTAGCCCTTATAAGCTTTTTCTGGCTGGGTCAATTATATAATCGATTTTAATGTCTCGAAAAAACTTAAAAATGCCCTAAAAATTCTAAATAATCGTAAATAATGCCCTAAATTATTATTAATATAAATTATTATACATTTTAACATAAATTTGGTATAAATATATTTTAAGCTTTTAAAGGATTGTAAAAAAGTTTTATAGATAGAACTGATCGTCTTGAACTTCTTTAATGTGAAAAATGAATTATTCTTTTTTTTTATATGTTTAGATAATATATTTATTAAAAAAATCATGTAAAAGCATACAAGTACCTATACCTACAAATTTTAGTGTGCATGTTATAAAACAAGTATCGCTTGGCTAGATTCGGAAAACAATGCAAAGTGCATCTAAATCACAACCTCAATCATTACCCATTTACTTAAATAATATAAATACCGCAAAATACCTACTTAAGTATTTTTTAAGTTAAAAATAAAAACTTTTTTTTTACCTAGCGATTTTTATTATATACTCGAAAATGAAAATCAGAACTAAGAATTTAGCTTCTATATAGATTTATGAGACGTAGTGGATATGGGGGCCAAGTGCAGTATTTCAATGTCAACCAAGTTTTTACCTTTTGGATAAAAACAATTAAATGTTTATAGATGGCATAATATAAAGTTTCAACTTTTCAAGTTTGTGGTATCAATGACCGAATATGCTAGAAACATTTAATTTTATAAATTACCTAAAATTATCAAATTAATGGTAAAATTGTATTTATTAAAAAAAATGCATTTGCTAATTTAAAATTAATGCTGTAAGATTAAGTTCTGACTAACTATCTATGTATAATTCATAAATAAATTTAACATTCCCTACATTTCTCTATGAAAGAAAACATGTCACTAATAATACTTTATCACTAATAGGAATAGTAGGATAGCGAAACAAAAAATTTAAGAATGAAAATATTTTGCACTTTCCTTGACACATTCCTTGAGTACAGTAAGTAGAATCTCAATTTGACAAATATAACAGTGAAATTAAATAACATATAATGTATAAAATGAGTTAATATTTTTAAAATGAAGTATTAATAAGTAATATATTACAAATATCAAATTTTATAATAATATAGTAATATAACATTATGTCATTATCTATAATATACGAGAAAAAGTAAAAACACTACCTACATTAATTTATATTTAGTGGGAGGTAATTTTGATGACTCCAAGTAACAAATTTGTCTAGATTTTACTGTAATATTAATGTATCAGTTGGATACTTTTGATAGTCCAACATATTTAATATTTATTAATTATAATATAATTTTTATTTTTGACCGGAAACGGTATACCTAACTACTCGTATACGAAATCGATGTATATTCATGAAAAGTTGTCCATTGACCATTTCATGAAGTGGAAATGATAAATAAATATGAGTAGGTACTGCAGGTCTACAAATGTATAAGTATTTGTTTTCCAATTACCATACTTACAGCCTAATGCCTATATTATATGTTATTTCCGATAATTATAATTTAATGATTATTAGACTAATCTATTTTAAATGTTGAGATATAATAGTTTTAAACTTGAAGCTATATAATAAAAAATCAAAAAAATCTTACTTAATGGTGGTAACGAGGGCGATGTCACACGATATAATGATATGCGAACGCAGAATAATGGCACACTTACGACCGAATGTCGCGAAATGCTATTCGTACGAACGCACACTGCGGTAAAACGATAGGCCACTGACGTCGTCGAGAGAACGCACGAGTCTCGACCATGGACGGACGCGTAGAATGGTCGACGGCAAAGGCCAAGTCGACCGGCTGAACGGCGTTCGTTACTAACGATAAAAGAGCGCGTAAAGGCACAACACGAAACCGGGCGGCGGACGACAGACACGCGGTTTCAAAGAATTCAAAAACGCGACGCATGGTGCTCTCGCCTCGTGTAGTCGAGAAACACAAAACCGTGACAAAATATACAGGTATAGATTGAGGTATGTCTTTCATTCAGACAATTTTCTGCGAAGATATGGAGTATGGTATACTTCTCATTGGTCGAGAATCGATCACATGACTTATCAAATAAGCAGGAACGGATAGGCCAATCGGGAAATCGGGAATTTTCCAGATGGGTCGGCCCTTGTGTGGGTCGCATTATAATAATTATATGATATTAAAAAAAAAGTTATTTTTTTTAAAATTAACATAGGAATATTATTTCAATGTTTTGAGATCATAAGTGATTACATGCAAATTAATAAATATTAATGGAATAATAGGCATTACAAATGTGTTAGTCCAGAAAAGAAATCATATTCAAATAATAATATAAAATCATATTCTATATACTATATTATTATTTATTATAATAGCCATAATGTAATTAATGATTGTGATTTGTGGATAAAAATTAAATTGTGTTATTATACAGTAAAGACAATATTATATAGATATATTAAGACAAGAAATATAATAAAATGTATTTCTATAAAAGGTTAATAGGTAAGGCCGTATTCATAGTCGATGCTTAAAAGAATAAGTATTGGACACCATTCAAGCTTAACATTTGAGCTATATTTGTGACTCAAATGAGATTCATAAACGTGACATTGGTTTAAGGAAGGAAAAGTATTACTTACACGAAGGTTGATCTTATCGATATCTAATTTAAACTCGAGTTGGCCTGGCCTCAGTTTTTTTTTTTAGGGTCTCGTACATTTTGGATTCTGAGTGAAACGATGAATGTATTGATTTTACAATGATGTGTGTTTTTTTTTATTTTTTTTTTGTGTCTGTCATCACGTTTAAGGACAGTAAAAGTGCTTGGATTTTCTTCAACAGTAGCTTTTCTGATAGGAAAGTGAATCTAGTTGGTACTTTAGGGAGTCAAAAGTAAAAATGTCCAAGTAGTTTTCACAAGCGCCGGGAAAAACAGGAATTTTTACGCAAAATCGGTTTTCCAAAAAATCGATTTTGGTTTTTGGTGTAACTCTAAAAGAAATGAACGCATATACATGAAATTTTTACTGGTTGTTTATATTTGCATTTTATATACACGATAACATTTTCAAAATATTTTGATTTATTTTGAACTGTTTAGGGACACTTTCATTTTCCATTATTTTTAGTTTTTTTTCTAAAAATATCAATAAACAGTTTTTTTTATAAGCATTTAAAGTTCAAAAATTGACAAAATATGGAAAAATCACGAAAATTAGCAAATTATTTTGAGTTAAGAATTCGTAAAAATTTTTCTTTTTAAATCTAAAATTTGAAAATGTAATACAAGATTCCTTATAACCTTTCTCAAAAAAAAAATGTCTATAAGAAAGTCAAATTAAATTTTATGAGCGTTTGAAATTCAAATTTTTACAACATTGGATATTCACTCGATTTCTCATGTAGCGATTTCCTTATTTTGTTGTAATTCAAAAATGAATTACTGTAGATACATGAACATTTCACTGAATGTTTAAATTAGCATTTCCTATACAACATACAATTTTGAAAATATTTTGACTCTTTTTGAGCTATTTACGGACATTTACTGCTTTCATTTTTTTTTTAGTTTTTTTTTCTATAAATATCAATAAAGTTTTATCTGTTGGGAAAAAAGTGTAAAAATTTAATACAAGGCTCCTGATATATTTTTACAATATCAGTTGAAAAATATTAAAAATACATAGGCACAGTTTTTTTTTATAAGCATTTAAAGATCGAATTTTGACAAAATTTATCAAAATCTCGAAAATTATCAATTATTGTAATTAATAAATTATAAAATATTCAGTTTTTATAGCTAAGGATTGCAAATTTAAAACAAAGGTTCTCATAAATAGTTCATACTGTAACCAAAAAATCTAAAAAATATATGAACACAGTTATTTTTTACAGACATTTTAAATTCAAATTTGGACGAAATTATATATTAAAAAACCTAGAATAACTATTTTAGTTATTTTGTTGTGATTGAATAATGTTATTCGTGAGTACTTGAAACTTCTAAAGTTTACTATTATATATCTATGATAGTATCACGGGTTTTGTTGATGTATAACGCGTTATAAGTACCTAATGGATATTGTGATTTGATTAATTTGGAATTTATTATAGCCTATAGGTACCTATTATAAGTCAAATTTTGGTTTAGTACCTACCAGAGATATGTATACAATATGTCGTATACCTAGACTGACATACCGTTAGACTCAGAATCGTTTTTCTTATACAATGATATTATATCGTTGAATTCAAATTTAATATCATCCATTATACAGTGACCCACTTGTAACCTACTGTACAGCAGAGCGACACCCACTTGCCCACCTTTTTTTATTTGCTTGGCGTGTGCGGTGTCCTCGTCTATATAGGGAGTAAGGACCCCGTAAAATATTTAGGTATTGATATTTTTAACCGTACGCATTTTTTCTTTACAATGCACAGATGCTTGCCTATTATAGTGTAAGCAGGGCACTATAATAGGAAAATTATTGTCAAGTAATAAGTATAGGAACATTTTTGGATTAATTGCGCTACTGAAAGTTAAGTTAGGTTTTATATTTCTCCTTAAAAACAATGGGCTCAGACGAGGCCACGAGGGCCCCGCTCATCCGACCCTGCAGCGGATCCGCTGTTGGATTCAGTGATCATGAAAATGTTGCTTGCAAAAATATACATTATTTATAATACTATAAGTCTACTTATACCCTACTTATATATATATAAAACAATGATGAAGATTGGACATTTAAGATTTACCTATGAAAGTTTACTTGAATAATATTATGCTTATAGCTTATGGATTTGTCTTCAAAGCTAAAATTGTATAGGTAATATATACATAATTTTGTTTTTCGTAATTTCGTTTCTGTGTCATTAATAATAATTATTTATTATCTCGCAGTTTCAAATATTTCAAAAATGTCAATATTAGTTTATTATTAAACGAATGATTCCCCTCGTCAGGCTTCGCGGTTATATTATACAAAGCGATTTTTTAAGCATGCTCACCCTATTTTTTTACTTAAATTGTACATAATATGTGCGTGTATATAACTATTCAAATTCTGATTTTTAGAACCTGTAAAATATAAATACTTGATGGATTCCATTAATCCATGACTATATCTTTAATCATGGTAATAACCACGGTTTAAGATAGAATGGTTAAGCGACGATCCATACAATCCCACGGTACTTTACGGCGGAAAAGTTTCTTATCAAATAAATGTTTTTACTCACTGGATACTAGCGCTTCCGGTGCCAACATGAACTATCACTAAATGTTGGCGCCAAAAGCAATAATTCCTGACGGAATTTTACGGAATTTTAAAGAGATAAAGTATATGTTAATTCGCGCCAATTCTATTTACCATGATATTATAATAATTGTGGTTATAGTGAATTACTATTATAAAATGTTCTATCTTAAACCATAGAACAATAAACCGTGGTAATAACTAATAACCGACAAACTCAAACCAGTGAAGCCAACATTATTATAAGTGTGGTGATACCACTCATAAAAAATTCGTCGTTATACTTTAAAAAAAATATAATAATAGGTAAGTAATTAAAAAAAAAAATAATTATCATTAGTCAAGACTCAAGAGCCACTAATGGGTGGCTGCTTATTCACAACATTAATTTTATTCTACTTTTACTTTCATCATATAAACTTATTGTGGTAAAAATAGTATAGATTGTTTATTTCAAATAAAAATATAACATTTTTTCCTTATAATTCCCCTATCTCCCTACAATAGTACAATGTGTTGAAAACAATACCAAAAACTAAAAGAGTATTCCATATTTCCAATTTCCATGTACAGTTTAGACAATGAAGGGCACAAACACAATTGATTCTGTAATATATATATAAGTATAGATTAAATTATTGTTTAACCAACATGGTTTCTTTCCACCACAAAAATTCACTAAATTTAATATGGAAACAAGCTTATTACGTGGGTTTGTGTCGGTAAATGTCTTTAAATATTACTTCTAGTGATTATAACAAATTTTTACTTATTAAATTATAAAAATTAAACTTGTTCTTAAACATCGACTATGAATACGGTAGGTACTTAGAAGTCAAAAAATGTTTATATCTAATTCCATTTCTATTTTTTGCATCTATTAATGGTCTTGAAGGACCGTGTCCGTGTGTAATCTTAAATGCCTATTTTTTTTTTTTATATAATTAAATTTTATTTTTTACTAAATTACCGATTAGTGATTACAATGCACGCACTCGATCATATTTGAATAATTAAAAGTTACAAAAATAGAAAATATACAATTATTTATTGTCAATTCAAGGTGTATTGATACACCTTGCGTCAATTATATAAAGTTTCAAAAAACGATTACAATATTATTATGATAATTGATAAGAAATACGATATTACGATATGACAATATTGATAAGATATATTTTGCTCTTGTCACGGACTAAGAATTAAGATATTACCCCGTGGCTCTTGTTAATAGTTTTTTGAAATTTTAAATAATTTAGACCCATATCCATACCATATAACTAGCTATATCATGATCATGAGCCATACGGCCATATTATTATATTAATGAATGATAGTACTAAATATACGGTCAGGTGCCTATGTATATTGAATATTGTCTAATACTACCCCTAGTTACTACACCAGTATCTAACAATACGGTTGCTATAAAAAAAAACGCTAGTGTCAAACGTCGAATCCACTGTTCGAGACTTCAAGTATGTATTTCAAATCGTCATGGAGGTTATCTCAATTTTATTTTATTATTTCATTTTTTACGACTTGTTGCTTGAATAAACTATCCTCGTTATAGGTGCAGTGTTTATATTTGTTGAGCAATTATGGACGTTTCCAGAGGATGCAGTTGCAGTTGCTGTGACAAATGTATGCAACACCCGACATTCCATACAATCCAGAAATTATGCAACATCAATGCATGTTTAGATTGTTTAACCACACTAGATATAAGTTCTAGTAATATCTGTGAAGCGCCTGAATTTATCGGGTATCTTGTAAATATAGTCAAACTAGATTTATCATCAAATGAGTTGGAAACTCTGCCATTGTCATTTATCAAATGCCAAAATTTAACAGATCTCATATTGTCGCATAACAAATTTTCACAATTTCCCCAATGTTTAATTGATGGAATGCCCTCCTTAAAAACACTTGATTTATCTCACAACCAGCTCTCAGATATCAGCAAAAAACCATTTTGTATTCAAAAGTTATTAACTTTAAATATCAGTAATAATTTAACACTGGATAGCCTTCCACAATGGTTATGGTCAGTTGAATGCAATTCATTAGAGTCATTAGATATATCATATACAAATTGTCTGGACAATATTGCTGTGGATCCTTATCTGAACATGTATGGTATTAGTAATCATCTGAAGTATTTAGATTTATCTAATACAAATTCTGATGTTCGAAAATTAGATTTCATCAAACATTTAAAAAATCTAAGAAATTTGGTTTTGGATAACAAATGTACAATGATACAAAAATGTCAAAATTATTACTGTGATGTACCACTAGTGTTTAATTATCGATTTAAATTTATCGATTCTTTAAGTATGATGAATGTCAGTCTATCAAGCATTGGAAAAATGGTTTATTTCAGTTTGCCTAGCATACGTTTTTTGAATTTGTCCAATAATTCTATTGTGTTATTGCCAGATTCATTAAGTGAATTGACCAACTTAGAATTCTGTGATTTTTCAAATAACAACATTTTAACGATTCCTGAAAGTTTTAAAAACTTAAAGAATTTGAAAAGTTTAATATTAAATAATAATTGGGTAGGTATATTTAAAAAGCTGTAAATAAAAATGTTATTTATATTAATTTAATATTTTTATTAGTTATCAAAATTTCCAAAAATTATTGAAGACCTAATAAACCTGGAGATTTTGGATTTATATGCTAATAAATTAAATATATGTCCATCATGGAACATAAATTCCAATATAAAATTACTTGATCTAGAACAAAATGTATTTTCTACTGAAGATAACATTGATATAAACATTAAAGTAAGTATTACTATGATAGATCAAGATTTTATCTTGCAAACATTCTGCATAATCAGTAGATATGAGTAAATTAACGAATAATGGATCTATAAAACAAACAATTTAAAACCAATATTTTGACATGTGCTTTTAAAGTTCACTTGTTTGAATTGAATGAAAAATATTTAAGTACCTAATTTATGTTGTGTGTTTTTTTTTATGATTTGTATATCATAGTATTTATTTTTAATAAGCTAATGATCAAACACATTGGTAAAGTTGCAAGTTTATAGATATTGGTTTAAAAAAGGTTTAAATAAAATAAAAATAAGACAAGAATAATTACTGATAAATACACAACTCAAGTAAACTCTTGCATGGGGGTTGATCTACATTAAATATAATATTTATTAAACAGTTTTAATTATTTATCGAGAATGGCACTTAATAATATCAGCACTTTTATTCATAAATAATTTAAAAAATTTTAATTTTGCGATTTCTGCATTATTTTTTATACTATTTTTGAAACCATTAACTACATTTTTAGATTGAGCCTTTTTTATTATATCGTTAAAAAATAGTATGTTACTTATGATTATTTTGTATTATTTTATTCTAATTTCTTAATAGGCCAATTATTCAGAGTTTTTAAACAATCTGCGTTCATCAATTACTGAAAGCCGTGTTATAGGACCATTATGTGTTGAAGAACTCAATGATGTAGATTCTGAAACAGATGAATCAAGTAAGCATATTTTTCTAATATTGAAATTTTTAGTTAAACTATTGTTTTATTTAATGTTAATTTTACATAATTTTTTTATTTAGGTAGTCATTGGTCATCATTATCAAATAACTCTCCAGAACACAGTATTCACGGGTTAGTTAATATAAAGTATTTAATACAGTGATTTTGTTGATATAAATAGTTAGTTAAATTAATAAATTATTTTCTGTTCATCAGTTAGTAGACAGTAGTTATAACTCAATAAGTAGGTAATATCTTAAACTAAAGTGATTATAAAATATAAAATATTGTAATAATTATAAGTAATTATAATTGATAAGTATGAGTCTATCGAAAATTCTATAAAAAAAATAGTAAGGTGTCTTGGATATACTGTAATTATTTTTATACAATTATAATGAATAATGATGCAATTGCTTCCGTCGTGTATCCAAATTGTACCTATATCCTGAAATATCACTGAATTTCCTAGCATTCAATATTCAACTCAATCAATATTTTATTAGATTACTTAAAAGTGTGATTGAGCTCTATAGTTTTTAATACATTCCCAAAATTTAAATCTGCACACGTATAACTCCAAAAGATAATTAAAAAAAAAAAAATACCGCCTTACCAATAAATATACAAAACTTGGAAATATTACTCTTATACAGGGTGTCCCGTGAGGATTTACTCATTGCGATATCTCCTGAAATAATAGAGATATCGTAATTCTGTTTTCTTATTAAGACTCACAGAGGTAAGCACTACAAACAACTTATTTTTTATTTTTTTTTTATGTTTTGGTAAAAAAGTTAAAAAAAAAATATTTTTTTAATTAATTATTAAAAAAAATATTGAAGATTGCCATTTTGTAGAGTTCGTTTTTCTGAAAATATTGACGTTTCAACATTTTAATTTCATTAATTTCCTGATTTTTAATAATTTTTTTAATTAATAAGTAAAACGGCAAAAAACCGGTTTTTGTCCGGGCGGCGAGTCCCCCTCTACGGCTAATAGGTAAATCCTCACGGGACACCCTCTATATAACTCTAAAATAAACAAACAAAAACAAATTGTAAAATTATTCTAAACTAATTAGTTCATAATAATTTGTGTATAGCTCCAATAGATTTCAAGATAATTAAAAAAAATAAAAATACCGCCTTACCAATAAATATTATACAAAACTTGGGAATATTACTCTTATATATAACTCTAAAATAAACAAACAAAAACAATTGTAAAATTATTCTAAACTAAGTAGTTCATAATAATTTGTTATACAGTGTACTCTCGGTAACTCGGAAGTTCACAGAGAAAACAAATTTGATTTACTAAAAATGTTAAGTTATTAAAATCTTAATGTGTTGTTGTTATTTGAAGGGGAATTTTATTTGTTCGAGATGTCGAGAATTTTGAGTTGTCGAAAGTCGACTGTATAATATATTATACATAAAACTCAATTAATAAATATTGTGATTTCAATATAAAATACAATTTTCCTTCTCATCAGTTTTATTAAAAGCTAATAATTATTCAATTTGTCTGCAATACTTTTGTAACATTATCATTATATTTATACATAACTTTTAAATTGATTTCAGAGAAGATCAGGATGATACCAGAAATCTAGATTTTAAAGCAGAAGAAGTTTGGGACTGTGGTTCCTATGTATTTACAACTGATGTATTCGATCCTAAAAGTTATTGCTTTTACTTATTACTAGTTAAATTTTACATTAAAATATTTGTTTGTATATTAAAAATGTTTTACTTTATTTATATGAATTACAGGTTTTGAAATTAGTTTAATGAATGAATTAAAAACATTAGAAGAACCATTAACTTTTGATGGAAAAAAAAATTTCCGAAGAGTGCGTTTAGCTAATGAACATTATTTTTGTCCTGGTGATGAACTTCCTAAGACATTGTCAATTACAAAATAATTGTTGATTGAAATTGAAATTTGTAAGTGTTCTTTTTCCATTACAATTTACAATCAATTAAATAAAATGGTTTTAAAGTTTTGTGAAAACTAATTATAACATACTTTTTGGTAGTTCAATGTTTAGGTTAAATATTTCAATTAAATTAGTTCACTACATCTATAGAAAATCAAAGCTTTGATAAGACTACAATTTTGAATGACATTTATTTTTTGTAAATACAATTATAGAAACTTAATCAAGTATATCCATTATTTTAGTCTTTATTTTTACTAACCTCAAAACTCTTCATCCCTATGTTGTCACTAATTGACAATTCAAAAATCATTAAATATTTTGAAACTCTTGCTCCTTTGGAAGCCTCTTATTAATTAATTTAATATAAATTATTTTACATTTTATTATTATCTTAATGATCTTATTTAAATTATTAATGGTTATCATTTATTTTTAGGGTTAACTCTATCAAAAATATTTTTAGAAAGACATCATTATAAAAGTGTGTACCAAAAATAAATTTGAAATTTGAAGACTTATGAGTTATGAATGCCATAATTCTTTTGTAATAAAATATATTTCATATTTTTTTTATTCCTTATCTATTAGGTATTAACAGAATATTTAATATAAATTTATATATGCAAAATGTTGAATAATTAAATGTTATACCTAACTGGTATTCTTATTTCTGTTTCTTTAAAAAACAATATGCAATAATTAACTTATTTAATATAAATTTGTGTATACAAATACAATTTAATATTTAACAAAATAATAATTTATATATTATTTTATTTAACAATAAATTATTGACCAAGTTGATTTTAATTTAGTTATATTATATGCCTATTGCCTTGTTTGGATTATATAGTTTAATAGGTGTGATAAATTGTCTATGTAGAATTATATTACTTTTCTTTAAACTGTTATGTATTTGAAGTGTATCTTCTACTCTTATTCTTGTGCGTTGGCATATTATGTTGTATAAAAAGTAGTAAACTAATATTATTATTTATATTAATATTAACAATACAAAATTGAGCATCAGGTTTATTTTAATAAATAATGTATTATAGAAACTTACACGTACATTACTCACAAACAATAAACACTCCAGATTGAAAGTTAAAGTTCTTACATATAAAACATTACTTAAACCACTATGGCTCTATGGTCTTTAATTATGGGGTTCCTTATTAAAATCCAAAAATTCCAGAATATTGTCCTCAAGAAGATAACGAATGCCCCACCTTTTATATCTAATTACACTTCACATAAAGACATTTCAATTAAAACAGTGATGGAATAAGCTGTAAACTTCTACAAAAACTTTCATACCAGTCTCCAAGCACACCAAAACCCACTCATTAAAAACCTGTCCACCCAAACCTTACCTGGCAACCCCTGGCCGCCCGGGCCAGGTGTCATCTAAAAAGGAAATGGTGCTGTGACATGTTAGAAAACTGAGGGGGGAAATGGAGAATAAAAAAGGTGGGAAAGTGGGCGTCGCTCTGCTGTACAGTAGGTTACAAGTGGGTTAGGTTAGGTTTTGTATTCAATGATATTATATCATTGTATAAGAAAAACGATTCTGAGCGGAGACGGTATGTCCTTTTAGGTATAAGACATATTATATACTTATCGATGGTATTAAAAAAATTGACCTATAATGAATTCCAAATTAATCATATCACAATATCCATTAGGTACTTATAACGCATTATACACCAACAACAAACCATGATACTATCATAGATATATAGTAGTATACTTTAGATTTTAGAAGTTTCAAGTACCCGCGAATAATATTATACAATCACAACAAAATAACTAAAATAGTTAAATAATTGGTTACAGTATGAACTATTTATGAGAACCTTTGTTTTTAATTTTCAATCCTTAGCTATAAAACTGATCATTTTATAATTCATTAATTACAATGATTGATAATTTTCTAGATTTTCATAAATTTTGTTAAAATTCGATCTTTAAATGCTTATAAAAAAAAATTGTGCCTATGTCTTTTTATTATATTTTAATTTCTATTGTAAAAATATATCAGGAGCCTTGTATTAAATTTTTACACTTTTTGGCCCAACAAATAAAACTTTATTGATAGTTATAGAAAAAAAAAACTAAAAGAATTGAGAACTAAAAATGTCCGTAAACAGCTCAAAAAGAGTCAAAATATTTTCATAATTGTATGGTGTATAGGAAATGCTAATATAAACATTCAGTAAAATTTTCATGTATCTACAGTTATTCGTTTTTGAATTACAACAAAATAAGGAAATTGCTACATGAGAAATGAAGTGAATATCCAATGTTGTAAATATTTGAATTTCAAATGCTCATAAAAATTTAATTTGACTCTCTTATAGACATTTTTTTTTTTTTTGATAAAGGTAGATAATCTTATAAGGAACCTTGTATTACATTTTCAAATCTTAGATTTAAAAGAAAAATTTGTACGAATTCTTAACTCAAAATAATTTGCTAATTTTGGTGATTTTTCCATATTTTGTTAATTTTTGAACTTTAAATGCTTTAAAAAAAAACAACTGTGACTAAGGAATTTTAATATTTTTCATCTGCCTTTGAAACAATATACTAGGAGCCTTGTATTCAATTTTTAAGCTTTTTTAACCAACAAATAAAATTTTATTGATATTTCTAGAAAAAAAACTAAAAAAAAATGGAAAATGAAAATGTCCCTAAACAGTTCAAAATAAATCAAAATATTTTGAAAATGTTATCGTGTATAGAAAATGCAAATATAAACGACCAGTGAAAATTTCATGTATCTACGGTCATTTGTGTTAAAGTTACACCAAAAACCAAATTCAATTTTGTGAAAAATCGATTTTGCATAAACTTCCCGTTTTTCTTTTGTTTTTCTTGGCGCTTTTGAAAATTACTGGGAATTTCAAATTTTGACCTTCCATATGCACCAACGGTATTCACTTTCCAATCGAACAATATATTGAAGTTGAAAATCGAAGCATTATTTTGACTACTTAATCTAAAATAAATATGAACAAACGCTAAAAAATATGTGTTTAGAAATAACGAAAGAATTAGTAATAAAATACATCATTTTTATGCCGGAATTTTTAGCTATTTTTATTAATTATTAATTATATTTTATTTTATGCTTTTTTTCATCCGCATATCATTCATATCATTAGTAATTTTTATTTTATTAGACATAGTAATTGTGAAAATGTAAAATAGACAAAATAGTCAATATTACAAAAGAGACCGACCGTATAATTGTAATACACTTATTACACTTCACAGTACACGCATACACAGTAGAAAACACGAGTACGAAAGAGTTAAGACGAATCACGGTGATAACTAAATACTATATGAGTCATGACAAATAATAAGCAATCGATGTTTGAAGTTTTAAACCAACTAATAACCTCAGGCTGGAGGTACATAATATAAAATATTGTAAAATATACCTACCGTTAGCACTATCGCCCGTAGGGCCAATGTTTTTGGAAAGTGTAGAGCTGGTTGTTATTGAGAATTCTCGATCATCGAGTGGGATATGTCATATTATAAACATGTAGGTATAAACATATTCTGACATTCTGTCGAAATTTACAATAGTTGATAATTTGTTTTTAGAAAAAAAAATAGAACAGCTGAACAGCATTTAATGCATTATAGAATATACTTAATTATAAATTGTTATAAATATTGAAAAAAAAATAATTGGGGGGGGGAATCTATCCCTCTCATCAGTGGCGCCCAAGATATATTTTTCAGGTGTAGCAAGAAAACATTTTACCCACCCACCTACACCCTTAAGACTCAAAAATATATTATTTAATACATTTTATCATATTTGTATTGATAATAATATTAGTAAATATTATGGTATCAACCAATATAATCTGTGATTAATTATGAACATATTTCAAGTTTATTATTTTTTGTTATTATACCCATCCACCCCTTATTTTCAAGGTGTAGCGACCGCTACACTTAGAAATAGGGTTGTGCGCCACTGCCTCTCATATACCCCCTAACCACCGGTTTGACTGCCACTGATCCATACTCACAATATCGGAAAATATTTGTATTCGTCATTTTATTATAAAAATGTCATGTAAAAACTATACTCTATCTCAAAAGAGAATAATCACTTTTCGCGCATCACGAATGATTCGATTGGTGCATCGAGAACCACGTGATCACGTTAACACGGAGAAGTTGGTGGGGGATGCGCGGCACTGCCGAAAACCGGTCGACCGACTGATTATTCTCTTTTGAGACAGAGTAGGTATATTATATTATATATTTTATAATTAGGCAGCTATTAGAATCCGTAAAAAATGTGTCTGCGGTCCGCCAGTTGGTGACCCCTGACATAGGTCCTATACCTATATATAAATATCTTAAAATGAGTCTAAAATCTAAATATTCCGAAATGCTACTAAATGATCGAAAACGTTAAGGATAATTTTTGGTAGAAAATGTTACCTAGTGACTAGTTGAGCTATATAAGTACCTCGAGTGAAAAGTAAAAATTTCCAACAGGCAGTTTTCATAAATTTCAATAAAACAGTTTTCGACTAAATCGATTTTTATTTTAATGACTTGAATTTTTCACTGAATATATAATAGTTATCATTCCTAGACATGATATAATTTTCAAAATATTTTGGCCCTTTTTGTGTCAATAAAAGTAGTTTTTCATTTTTTAAATGTTTTGCATTTTATTGGTACCTATAACCTATACCTAATATATGTTTATGTATGATTATATAATTTGTATTCGTTAGTATAAAAAAGTTTGAATATTTAATAAAAGATTCCTCATACAATCATACATTTTTTTTAGATACCGTAAGAGCGGGATACTTTGCTCCAAATATATTTCTTTTTTAGTTTGAACCTATACTATAGCTTCAATAACAAAAATAAAAATTACCTGTTCGCGTTGTTTTATATGTATAGATGTTAAGAGAGGTAAGAACAATTCAAAAAAATCCGAATGTACTAGTGACTTACTTATTCCCAAAAGTTTGGAGCAAAGTTAAAATACATTGCAGGTTACATTGCACAATGATTAAAATTACCTTACTTTAATGCATATAATAACTATTGGTGCAATGTTTAGTGCTTGTGTTTTAACTTATTTTAAATTATACTTAATATAATTTAATAATATATTTTTTTTTTTTTTAGTTGATTAAAAGTCTTTTTTCAATACATTTTAAATTAAATTTCAATCCCCTAGATTTTGGATAACTTTTCCGTTATGTATTTTTGTGTTTTTGAAAACCATTTTTTACATGATATACATCTTGGAGGAAAACTAATAGATTCATGTCCGTAATGTTTGAAAAAATTAGTAATGTTAATAAGAATAATATAAAAAAAACTACAATCTCTGATCTCAAAATCGTAATGTGCTACGATTGATATCAATAAAAATTTTTTTTGGAGCAATGTTTAACCCCTGGAGTAAAGTATCCCGCTCTTACGGTACAGCATTTTAAAAAAATCGAAAATATACGGACATTATTTTTTTTTTTTTTTTTAGTGTTTGCCATTAGTAAAAATTACTGAAATTTCATGAATAGTCATTCCGGAAAAATTATTAGAAGTAATTTCAATAGATTTACTAGGTACTACAATAAAATTTAATAGCTATACTAAATAAATTTGAATAGTTTTATTACTTTATAGATTTAAATAATTTTACTATTGGTATACCAATATTGAATATATACTTTAGATCTAAAACGTTTTATAACTAGACATATTATCTAATAGTTTTACTTGCAATAACGATTGTCTACCGGGTACCGGCCAGACGCTTATAGTGGCCATCATGGTCAATCTAGAAATGGCATAAACTACCTACCTATAAATAATAATTTATTGTGTGTCTTTTAAGTAGAATTTTTGTACTAAAAGGATATCCCCCCTAGAAGACGAATCAAATCTGCTAGGTACTGGTACCGGCTACTTTAGTAATGTGTATATATATTATCTAATATAATCTAAAAATATTATAATCTAGTATTATATACTATCGTCACCACTGACTACTGAGAAGTGAACCCAGGATTTTAGTTGGTCAGAACTTCAGATTTCAGATAGTATACATACAGATAGCCATAGCCGGTAGGTCGTAGATACCTATAGCTTATAGGCCTACAGATCATGAGAGGTCCCTCGGAATGGAAGGCATTAAATCACTTAGGAACAGAAATCGAAAACAATCAAACCCACACTCAAGAAATTTAACACATTAGGAGAAAGTTGAGAACGGTTTGTTATTTGATATTTATTGGCTGGAGAAATTAAATCGCAGCCCACAAGAGAAAGGTTTGTGAGGGAGCCCCAAGATTTCGATTGCACCTATCCGTGCCTACCTCCATGGACCCAGATCAAGTGGAAGGTACTGAACTACGGGAGACTACATTAACAATAAACATAACCGAATTTAAACCGATATTATTGGGCTGCTGGATTTAATATATTATTCTTATTACTCATTTATTTTTCACGCGCTAGGCACTTTTTACATGACGTGTAGTACGGTGTACCTTGTACCTAGTCTTATAATCTAAATTGTGCAAGTATAATCTATAACTGCAATAAGCTACCAACACTTTGCAACTTTTGTTTAAATAGGTACGGACATGTTTAATATTATACATAGTTAAGTTAACTGAAATGGTAAATTAAAGTGACTTAAAGGATTATTATCAATTTTATCATAACTGAAATAAAAATAAAATATAAAAAATAAAATTTGAGGTTTAAAAATGGTCCACATACAGGCGCTTGTCTTAGTGCCTCGTTAGCTAAAAAATTGGTGCCTGGATGTGTGGCATGAGGGACGTTAAAATGCGAGTTGATAGGCACCTTAAAGTAGAGCATAGTAATATACTGGTATAAATTAATATAGGTATATTATATTATACTACATTACTACCTATATTATTATTATTATTATTATTATTAATGTGCGTGAGGACAACGGACACGGTTCACGACGTTCGCATCTTCAACTATACGAGCTGGTGATGATGTCCTCGAGCGGAAGACGGATAACCATAAATAATTTCAAGGTCGATTTTTATATTACATTATTATAGTAAATGGCAGCAGCTCTCCGTGCGACCGTGCGTTGGCCGACTGGCCATGGTTGGCTGGCCCGTGGCCGTGTGGCTGTGTGAGTCGTCGCCCGGCGGTTGTGAGCCTGGTGAGGTGGCTGGGGGATACCGCGGCCGACTTGCCGATCGTACATGTCGGGTGGATGTGCTGGGGAGGGGGGCTATGCGCATTGAACACCCGCCTTCCCAAAGCGGCGCTGCCTATGTTTAGCGTACTATACTATTCGGCTACTGCAGCTGACTGACGATGGAGTGGCGGTGTACTTCCCCACACTTCTACGGCAGTACAACTGGCCCCACACTCCACAGGCGACAGGCGTCACTGCGAGTCTGCGACTGCGTCAGGCATCAGTCGAGTCACTGACCACTCTCCTCTCAGTCGGTGTATTGTGTTGTCGTTTATTGTCGATCTATACCGTTTATCCGCCTTCTTGTCTTCGTCAGCGAAAATTATAAAGAAAATAGCGCAACGTCCTGCACGTTATAATGGCCACCGGTAAGCGAGACGTCATTCTATTAAAAATAACAACTTACAGCATATTTTATTTTGTCACTGCACCCGTTCGTGTCATTAATCGTTGCTAATGTAATACCATGACATATGGTCGCGTAATAGGTATTTTAGTTAGGATAATATTATGGTTAAAAATAAAAAACTAAAATGTTGGTCGCTGCTGAATAATTATGTTTAGGCTCGTAGTACGAAGATCCCTTAATACTAACAATAGTAATAATAGGTAATATAGACATTAGAATTGTCGGCGATTTATACGTACGAACGAGTGCGACCGGTCTATTTTTGTTTCACCGGCGTACTTAAATAGTTATAACTTATAAATTATAATATATATACAGTTTTAGAACCACTCGAGACTGCTTAACTCAACGAACATACTATTATTATTTAATCTCAATGTATTTATTAGTTTCTTACTTTTATTTATGTCCGTGAGAAATTAAGACAATTTAGTTCAATTTATCCGTTTTTTTATCGCTCGTGAGTCGTGTGTTGTTCTTGTTTAAACCTATATAATATATTATATTAGTTGTAGTATTATCGCGAGTCGCGACGGTCGACGTGCTCATTAACTACATTAATAAAATAAGGTACCTATAGGTACCTACCTACGTCCTACCTGCTATTAGTATTGGGTATAACGTAATTAAACGAAAAAGTTATAGCTAAACAATAATAATAGGCATAATAAATTATTGTTTTCGTTTTTCACAGGTATTATTGATTACCTACTCGAACAATGGCTCATTTTCTTTATAACTATAAAACTTCTCATTAAATATTATATTTTATTTTACATTTTTACAAATAGTTGTGATAATGTTGAGTTTCAGAAAATGTTGCTATGCTCATGCTCTATTATGGGCTCAATATATAAATGAACCACTAAATTGTAAAATAGATAATCTGTTTATGTCAAATATGTAACTATAAAATGTTTGGATGTTCCATTTTGATTTCATAGTTGTATACTGTTTTCAATGATACTTCCCCATATGAGATATGGCCATATTGCTTATACCTATAAGTAGGGCTAGGAACTTAGTTTGCATGTATCTATTTTTCATTTAAAAGTCAAAACGTGTGGTGGTTAAATGGGTGGGTAGGGTGGGAGATAGATCCATAGATCCCCCTATGATCCCCCAATGGCCTTTTTTTTCAATGTTTAAAAGCTGAAAACCATAAATCATATTTTTAATAATAAAATAATAGTGCATGTTAAAAAAACAGCCATATAATTAAGGTATAAAGGATAATAATTAATATTTATTAAGTTAATTATAGAAAAATAAATGGAATTTTCCTCTTTTTTTTCAAATAAACAGATTTACATAGACTTAATACATTTGTAGAAATGTATATTTTTACAGCATAATTTCATAAAAATGTTTTTCTGATAAACAACGTAGTTAAAATGTTTTGATTTTTTGGCATATTTTAAGAACATGAAGTCCCCGGTCCTTCCTCTAAGTAAGAAAACAGTGAAACACTACCTTCAGTTTAGTACCGTAACATGATTATTACTTATTAGAGAGGAACCTAAAACAGCTTATTTTTCATTTTATATATGGGTAGTTTATCTTATACCTATAGTTATTTTTAAGTAGGTAATGGATCCCTATTCTACTTTATCTGTATATAACTTTTTACTGGCTATTTTCATAATAGGTGTATTATTAACAATTTTTTTCTATTTGGTCTATTTAGTATTCATAGGCGGCCATGTATAAACCTAATATATATTATAGAGCGTAATAAGTTTTGTTTTTTTCTTCACATAAAAGTATACAAATTTAAGTAGCAATTGCTCATTTTAAGTTCAGTTATATTTTATGAATACCTATAGATCATTAATAATTCAAGGTCCTAAGTGATTAGCACAGATTTAAAATGTGTGAAGGTATGTATTCAAGCTAGTGAACAAAAGTATTAATAGTTAAAAATTTAGTAAGGTGTGATAAAATTCTTTAAAAAAAGATATGAAAATATAAAATATACCTATACTGGGCCTATTATTTTTAAAACTTTCTTCCATAATATGCCATTGATATATTTTCAACAATAATTAATTTACCGAGTAAGCTTATTAATATGGGGCACATGTGTCGTATGCTATCTACCAACAAATTGACGGTGTCGTATTGTAACAAATAACAATGGAAAAAATAATAGTGGATTAAGTTTATGCGAAATATTTGTAGATTTTTATATATGATTGATTAGGTAGATATTATATAGCATACGACACGTATACGTAGATTTTTGTAGATATAATTTTCTTGGTAGATAGCATACGACACGTGTGCCATATATGGTTACTTGTTACTGACGTGTAGTTATGTGATATTAATTAAATTATGAACTATGCTACTATTCATTTTCAAGAATTTATTATTACTTACTTCTATAAAATAAAATATATTATATTTTAATATTTATCTAGTATTTTTAATGTCAATATTAATGTATATGTTATCTACTTGATGTCAAAATATTATGATTAAAAACTGTGGATAATTAAGAAATTATTTTTAATATTATGTGTTAAATATTAATAGCATACTAGCAGCATAAGGTCGTTATGGGTTATATAAGTAATATTAGATAAACCATAAGTAAGAATAAAAAGTACAGTAAAAGTCCCTAACACACTGCAGCGGTGGTAGTGGTTACGGCAAAATGGGCCCGGACACAATTTTACCGCCACCGCTGCAGTGTGTGGAGTCCTTAATTTAGACAGGTTTGGATGTAATGTAAATGTAAAATGGTAATATTAATAAAAATAATAAGTTTGTTCATAAAAATTAAAAACCAATGATTTATACATTAAAAAAAAAAAAAAAAAAATAGTTTTAGTATAATATAATTATGTTAAAAAATATAAAACAAATGTACCAATATTTTACTCTCTTTTTTTAACAAACGTATAGATATATTTTTGACAGTATTTCTAGTTTCTACAGTATCAAAAGTAGGCCTTAGTCTAAAATTATCTACTGTAATAAACTTTTCACAGTGATACAATTTATTTATTCCTTTAATTTTTGTTTTATGTTATAGAAATAACAACCGCTGATAGCCAAGATTATAAATTCAATCCCTTGAATTTCGGCTCTTTACATTTCACCGTCAAAGCGTCAAACGATGCTCATATTGCATTAACTGCTACTGCAGATAACAAGCCACCCAAATATGAGGTATCTATATATTATTGAATTATTCATACAATTTTACTTTTAATCAGTTAATTTGTCTTATTTTTTTCAATTCACTCTTTAAAAAAAGACTAAGTTTAAAACTATATAAATATTAAATACATAGGTACATATTATTATTGTAATAGTAAATTGTTAAATTTGTTTGTATTTTAATCAGATATTCATTGGTGGTTGGGGAAATACAAAATCTTCCATACGCAAAAATAATGAAGAGCCAGACAAGGTTATTGTTGATACTCCAAAAATATTGAATAATGGTGAAGCTAGAGGATTTTGGATCAAATGGGGAGGTGGTTTTATTGGTGTAGGAAAACAAGGAGAAGAAAAACCCTTTATGTCATGGCAAGATGAAGAATCTTTAAATGTGTTGTTCTATGGTGTGCGTAGTGGATGGGGAGCTACAGGTGTATGGACTATTGAAGGTTTGTTATATCAAATAAATTTAATCAATAACATATTATGATTTATGTTCACAGTATCTCTTATTTATATTATATATAAGAATGGGAATTTGTTAAAAGGGACCCAAGTTACATTTTTGACAAAAATAGTTTTGTTGTATATTATTCATCCTTTTATGTAAACACATATTATATGCTTATAATTTGTAAATCAAAGACTGATTCAATAAAAGTAGGTGCATAGGTTTTCTTTTTTTTAGATTGTTATTCATTTGTTTATATTGAAAGTTTGTTATTTAGTTGCATTGTTATCTATTTAATTGGATAAAATAAATAAGAAGCCAGAAGGTATTATATTACAGTAAAACCTGTGTAATATGGAAACGGTTGGGACCGGATATTTTTTCCATTTTAGACAGATTTCCATTTAATGCAGGTTGTAAAAAAAAAAATTCACGATAGGTAGATCTTTATTAAATATAATTTATTATTTATTATTAATTCATTTATTTCATATATTTTACATATTATTTATTATTAATTGCATCTAGTACATTAATTTTATTTGACAATTCATTAACACTTTTTATGCTATCCATACTTGCTAATAATGATTGTAAAACAATTTTACGATAATTTACTTTAATCAAATAAATAATTCCTTGGTCCATTGGTTAGGTAAGTGATGTCGTGTTAGCTGGAAGCCACGCTAAACGAACATTTGATAAATTTAAATGCGGATGAAATGTTGCATTATCAAGAAATAAAATAACTCTTTGATGTTGTTTTTTTAATTTATTGTTGAATGTATGCAACCAATCTTCCATTATGCTTCCAGTCATCCATGCTTTATTATTAGCTCGCCAAATTCTGGGAAATTTTGTCGGATCTACATTTTTGAAGAATCTGGTTTTTGTGATTTGCCTATAACTAGAGGTTTTTCAAATTCTCTTTCCATGTTGGCACATAAACATATACGTCTATACGCAGTCTACGTCAGAACACTACTACGACACTTATCGATAAAATAAACTTATTGCAATGAAATAATCTATGAAATTGATATAGATTATATTAATTGACTGATAACTTTAAAATAGTACATGTACATATTTCCATGATATACAGGTCCATGACAAAATATTGTTTCCATTTCCACGTTAAACAGGTTCCATCTTATTCAGGGAACGATATATTTAAAACTACATTAGGTTCGCCGGGACCGTAACATTTTTCCATAAAAGTCAGGTTTCCACGTTATTCAGGTTCCATATTACACAGGTTTTACTGTATTTTGAAATGTGACTATTATATAAAATTATGATACCTTAAATTAATAAAGTTATTAGAATTTGTTTAAAGGTACCTATTAAAACAATTCGTTATTTATAAAAGTACACATTTTTTTTTTTTGCTATTTATTTTTTATACAAAACTATTTAATCTAAATTGTGATGATTGATTTTATTATATAGAAATAAAGGAAAACTGTTTTTTGTTTCTCCTAAAAAGTAGTTGAAATTGTACATGGGTCCCTTTTAACAAATTGCCATTCATATATATATATAATAACAATAATAAAAATTGAAAATTATATGGTGTTACCAAGAAAAGTTATATTAAAACTGTATTGTACTCATAACATAAATGTTTTAAGAATAATACAATTTAAAAAATATTATAAATTTAAGTATATAATCATAGTATTTAGGAGTAGGTACTCTGATAGTTAATAATATTATATTTTGGTTATATTTAAGTGTTGAACTTCACATATTTAGTTTTAAATTTTATTTTTGAAATTGAATTCATATAGATAATATTTACATAAACACCGAAGATAGTAAGGAGTTCATATTTAGAACTATACTTCATGGATCAATAAGTTTTTCGGTAGATAGTGCCAATGATGCACATATTGTTTTGGCAACTAAAAATAAAGAATCTGAACCTATGGTAGAGGTAATACTTGGTGGCTGGAAGAATACAGCATCTGCCATTCGTTACAACAAGCAAACACCAGATAAGGTTTAAAATTATATTATACTGTGCTTTTCACTTAACACTCAATGCTCTTGCTTAATTTAATGTTTTTTTCTTGAATGGTACAAAAACTAAATTAATTTTACTTTCTGTTTTAATAATAATAATAATAATAAGTTTAACACATCTTCAAATTTTGATTCTGATTAACTCTTATTAACTTATTGTGACAATTGTGTTTCATATATGATTTTGATTATAGAAGAAATGTAATACATGTATAAAATGATTGATGTGTTTAAAGGTGCACGTTGACACTCCTCAGCTTCTGTGTAAAGACACTCCAAAGAAATTTGTCATTTTTTGGAGAGATGGTGTTATTGAAGTGTTTAGTGAAAAAACTAAATTATTTGAATGGAAAGATTCAAGTCCATTTCTCATTTCTCATTATGGAGTTCGTACTTGTTGGGGGGCTGTTGGCAATTGGCACATTCATGGTGCAGCAGATGATCAATTTAAAAGCAAAATAGTTGCTACCCCAAAACCAAAACCTTTAAAAGGAAAAGGTTAGGAATGCCCCTGTGTATATTTTTATTGTGATTTGTGATTAGTACATTTTTAATTATATTTATAATATAATTCCATGTCTATGTTAAATGTGTTTAGTATGTTTTTAAACATTGGTATCATCAAATTTAATTTTAAACATCAAACTTAATTTTGTCTAGCTCCACCTGCAGCTTCACCTGGTTGGAACCTTGATGGACCATCATCTGGTCCAGTTCATTGGGTCAATGCTAGTAACGGACAAATACCACCAAATGCTTTACCTGGTGGTTTTGATGCTACCAACGAACAGCTATATGTAGCCAGAGCAGAACATAATGGTGCTCTGATTCCTGGTAAACTTGTTCCTTCGCATGGTGTTGTCTATATACCTTGGGGTGGTATTGAGAATCCCAAAGAAAACTATGAAGTTAGAAGACATTATTTGTTTTCAATAAACATGTTTTTTGGACATTTTCTAACATTTTATTTGATTTAGGTACTTTGCAACTGTAATGGTACTTGGGTAAAAGCCAATAATGGAGAAATCCCAGTAGGCGCATTATCTTCAGGTCACACAGAAGATGGTGAACCATTGTTTGTTGGACGTGGTGAACATAATGGTTCTTTGACTGTTGGAAAGGTAAATACTACATATTAAGGTCTTAAATCACATTTAGTTGATTCATTTATATCTATGAGAGACTGTTTTTATATACAGGGTTTGGATGTTATTGCAGTTTAAAATATGTTTAACTGATTGCACTGTTTACAGTATTCTGCCCTGCTAAGCTAAAGTACCATAAAAACCAAATTATTAGTTTTGAGAAAAATGTTGTTTTGTATTTTTCATTTTATTATACCTTTATTATTTATTAGTTTATTTGATTTCGTATAAAACATATCCACATTTATAGTTTTTTTGACGAGGAATGCAATGAAATAATAATTTAAAAGTATTATTCGCTTATTATACGAATAAAAATTACTTTTATGTTATAACTTAGCAATAAAGCTGTTAATACTTTTATTTATTATGGATAAACGCCATAAGTAAATTTTACGTAACTCTGGTAGAACATGGAAATGTTATGCGAAAACTTTGTATATATAAACGGCATTTATATATATTTACGGCGTTTATGTTTAGTAAGTGTAAGATACGGCGTTATTTCTTAATACTTCTAACTTTTTTTGTTACCTACAGCGTTTTCCAATTTAAATTAATTGATTTTATTGCCTATTCAATGTAATTTCAGGGGTATTTTATCTACATTTATAGTGTAAAACTGATAAACCTATCAGATGTTGTTACTAACTATTTTTTTTATTTTTTTTATTTTTTTTTGAGTTACGGCACTTGCTCAGCAGGGCAGTATTACAATAAATATACCAAAACTGTACTGTTAAATTTCATGCAATATTTTAAATCTATTTACATCTTTACAAAAAAAAAATCAATTGATGAATGATCAAATATTTTTTTTTATCTAATGCAATACACTTTTACATTTTTGACCAATTTTATCATTGTCATAATCAAAGATAATTGGATTTATATTTTTCCTATTCTTAGGACAGGTCCTATGGTAGTTATTTACTGTAATTTAAAAGCATTTGTAAGAATAATATATTGAAAAGTTATGGAAAAAGTTTTCAGTAAACATTTTCTCATTTATGTTAAATTACATTAAATCTTGACAATTTGATCAACTAAAAATGCATTGTAAATGACAAATGTGCAAAATTGAATTAACATTTTAATCATTTCACTACATTTTTATATTTAACAAGAAAATTACACAAAATATTTAAATAATATACCTAATTAGTAAATAAATATTAACAGTAAAAAAATGCAACAATATCCGTTTGTATTTCATTGGTATAAAAAGTATATTTTCAACTTTTTAGTGATTATGTTTGTATACAATTTTTCATAATATATAATATTATATTATAATGGTTATTCAAAAATAAAATTATCAAAATAGGTAAGTTAAATATTATATTATTTTTTCATATCTGTGAACTAAACTCTTAAGTGTTAGTGTGTTTCATAATTAGTGATAGTATATATTATATAATATACTATATATCAAAACATGACACAGTAGGTATATTGTATAATATGTAAATAAGTATAATAACTTATATAATATTTAATACTATAGATTGTCAATGATCTGGATTAATTGTGTATATAACTTTTAAATTGAAATCAAATTAAATATTTATAAAACACATTCAATGTTTATAAAATAAATGGAGAATTTTAAGTTAAATTAATAATATTAATGTCTCAGATAATTGACATTCTACTGCAGTAATGTTATTTCCTAATAATACCATTGATTAAAAGTAATGTCTATGATAATACCTAACAGTCATTCTAACAAAGTACATATTTTATTTTTAATAATAATATGAAAAATAATATTAATAATATCATATAAACATATGGGTGGAAAATGTATTTAAAATTACTTATTTTTTATGTAAAAGAAAATCAGTTCTTTTTCAATTCAATTTAATATGTTAAGGAACACGATACTAAGAATACCTATTATTCTTTTAAGAAAATCTCAATTTAATAATATATGTAGGAAACAGATTTTGAATTAATAAAAATGTTTAAATTTATAACTTTATAAAATTGTTTACAAATTACAATTTATGTATTAAAGTTATGTATTTTTCCATGCACAATTCTCTTAAAAATATCATAGGGGCTGTATAATACTGAAGGAATGCTTCATACTTAAATTAAAATGCCTAACCATTTACTATGTTTGTATATATCTTATATATTTATAGCAGGGGTCTTCAACCTTTTTATGCAGCGGGCCACATATGATTTTTTTTTTAAATCTTGCGGGCCGCATTCGTAGTAGAAACATGTACCTATTTTATATAAAAATTCAGTTTTATTATTACAATTTTTAAAATTAGGTAGGTACATTTAAAATTACAAATTATTATTATAATTAAAACATATATAGATGAACATTTTTTTTAATAACAAATTTTTCGATATTTGGTTAGATCTGAGACAATGCAATTCTGAGTGAATTTTCCAAGTGAATGTCAGTTAACCGAGCTCTAGTTTTAGATTTGACAGTTTTCATTCGTGAAAAAATGTGTTCACAAGTGTAAGTACTGCCAAAAAGAGACATCATTCTTAATGCGTTGTTTCGAAGATTTGGAAATGTCTCCGTGTCAATATATTTCGAATAAAAAATTGAAAGTTCAACATTATTGTACTTTTCTTTTAATATTGTATTGTTCTGTAAATCAATGATCTCCATTTGCATATTTTCATCTTCAATTGATAATGAAAATGGAATTGAAAACAAATTAAACAATTTTTCATTAGCTTTGAAATCTAAGAACCTCTAATCAAATTAGATTTTTAAATCAGAAATTGATTCTGTGTATTTTTCCGTTGAAGTAACATTGTATTTTGACAAACATGGAAAGTGAGTAGTGTTATTTTTTCGATTACAAACTAACAGACAATAATAATTATATCTTGGTAGGTAATTCAATTTATCTTATCGCTAATTTCTGATAGCGATAGCTTAACTGTTATAATTTTATTGAACTAGAAAATGTACATGCTAAATTTATAATGTGATCGCGGGCCGCATTTTATGACAGGGCGGGCTGCTGGTTGAAGACCCTTGATCTATAGTGTGTTATTAAATCTTATATTTTTATTAGAACAAATGTTTGGTAAATGTGACCATGTGAGAATTTATCCATCAATTATCACATTTTCGTATAGTATATATATTATTTAATATATTGATCAATTTACATTTGTCAATAAATTCTATTGGTGGTTTGTTCAGGAAGTAATTAAACTAGTCCTCAGTTGTAGACTTACCTCTTATCACTTACAAAGACTCAATATCTCAGTTATATAATTAAAAATCTGTTTCATATATAGTAATATGTAGATTTTATCAGTCCCATAATTTGATTCATATTTTTAATTATTTATAGTTAAGTATTTAACATATTATAATAAATTCTAAATTATTATTTTAATATATTTTCCACTGTATGTACAGGGTATAGCAGATAGAACTGACTTTTGGAATAACTTTTATTCTAATCAATATTTAAAATTTTTTTTATATTTAATTTAGTCACTTGCGCTACACATAAATTATGCAAAAAAATTTTTAACATTAAAAATTTAAAATTATGATTTAAATTTTTTGGATATATTCAAGATAGCCAATTTGTGAATCTGATTATAAGAACAATTTTGATAGTAAAAACATTCATCTAATTCAAGTGGTTTATTTTTTAGAATTTTTTGAAATATCCATATTTTTTTGATTAATTTAATTTGGAACGTAATAACTTTTTTCAAAATATTTTTTTTTGGAAATTTGTTGACATGAATATATTTCTTAAATTATTTACTTATCATATAATTTTAACAATTTTTGTCATATGTTTAAGTAGCATAATTTTTTTTTTTTTTTTGTCAGGTATTTCTGTTACACCTTGTATATAAGCTTTATTAATCATCCATTAATTATAAAATATTATATGTCGGTAATAAAATTGTATAAAATATTTTTAGGAGAATCAGAATAATATAAAATCTCAGAAAACAAATAAAATTATGGCTCAGAATTCTTTACATTTTCGCTCTGAGGAAAGTTCGTACATAGATACATTGGTAATGAAATTATTGAAGAGCTCAATGGAGAAAGAAAACGATGACCATGATGTTTTTGGTGCTTACGTAGCTATGGAAATGAGAAACTTGAAAACACCTGACGCACAGAAAAAATTAAGAGGAGAAATACGAGATTCTATATCTAGAGTTATTTGTGAAGAATCTATGACCACAATCGATAAAAAAAATCCTATTTTAGAAATTAAGAAAATAGATAATGATTTAAGACAAGATAACCTTTTAAAAACCAATCTCAGCTCTTCTTCAGAAAACCATCTTGATGTGGTCCCTATTTCTCCAGAAAAAAGAAAGAACAGTTGGGAACTTATTAATTAATTTTTGGTTCTTGTTAAATATTACATACACATTAGCTTCATATTTTTTTTTTTTTTGAGAACACATATTATTAATACAAAATGTATTTTTTTTAATATAAAGGATCATATTTTTTCATCAAATATTTTCTTTGAATTATATCTATATTTTTATTAGAATCATTGTTTAAGAGAACGTTACAGAGATATTTGTTGTCTCTGTCTTACAAGTACGTAACATAGCAAATAGTAAATGTATTATATTACGCACTTGTAAGATAACAAATGGCTGTATAACGCCCTCTTAAGCTTAAGTCTATTTCATCAGATATAAAACAATGTATACGTTTTACTAGCAAGAAATAGCCAAAAGTATACATAAAAAAGGAAAGAACTGTATTCATATTTTAGTTACATTTGTAGATAAATAAGTAGTAAAGCTTTTATTATATTGTAGATGTTAAGCTACAACAAAATATATACATTTATTGGAGGCAAACACTGTTAACTTATTAGTTTGTAGTTTATATTTGTGTTGTTAAATTTAGAATATACTTTTGTAATATTGTTTTGAATAAATATATTTAATATAGTTTAAACTATGTGTTTGGAAAAATGACCCAATTTATTGCTAAATGTACATATCTGATAATCCTATGCATAACCAATGTTGAATGCGAATTATTCATGATAATATGCAATACATCAGTTTCCTTGATATCCACTCTTATTAATATTTTAAATTGGATAAAAATAATGTTAAATGTTTTAAATAAAATATTGTGCGTTTAAATTTTATAATAAGACTTCTTCCCCATAAATAAACATACAATTGTACATATTAAATAGATACATATAAACAGGTTTTAACATCAACCATTACGAGCGTCAACATGCATAAGATTGTATATTTAAAAAAGAACATACGTCACTAAAATGAATTTCTAAATTGAAAATTTTTTTTTTGGTCTTGTTATTCCATTCTGTATATAGTTTTATATGAATCATAATTTCTTAAATATTTATATGGGCACCTACTTTTATTGGTATTTTTCCGTTAAATTTAAATAGATTTTTATCCAAATAATTAATATAACTACAGTTACTGCTATCACAGGTACTTTTATTATACTATTAATATTCTGATATAATCTGATATAACATTATGTTAAGTTCTAAATAATATTTTTTAGAATACCTACATAGTTTTAAATAAAATTAATAGTATTTAAAACTTTTCATAGATATAATATTATTTGTATTTGAAATATTTCTCTCAGTCTAGAGTATATATTAAAACTATTTTTTATAACACTAATAATTTATGTTGATACCTGTTTGTACATCTCTAAATTTGTAAGTCATTTTGTTACATAGGTTATTCAAACATTTAATATGATTTGGTTATTGTTACAGGTTCAACCTAGTCACAGTGTTTGTTATGTACCGTATGGCGGTGAGGAAGTACCTCTGAATGATTACGAAGTGTTGGTAGTAGTGTAAAGCTATGAAAATTAACCAAAGATGAAAGAAGTATTAAACAATTTAAAAATGGCATATTGAATTTATTGAAACTTATAAGAATTTTTTTAACGCTTTATTTATACTTACATTATTTATAATTTTTCGAGAACATTAAATCTATCATAGCATTAATATTATGCCTTAATTATTTATATTCTATACAATCATTGAATAGAATATAGAATATAGATATTATCATATTATATAATATTTTAACAGCAAACCAGTAATACAACCAAGATAAACCACAAAATAGATTGCATTTAATCCTAACCTGGATGTGGACGTCCCTCCACTCTTGGATCGTATAAAATAATTCAAGTTTTATGACTTCATTTTAAAACCACTAGCAAAATAATGGTGCCTATACCTATTTAAATATAATTCTGTCGTTAAAATACTTATTTATTATAATTACTTTAATTATATTCATAGTATATTAGTATGTCAAGTTGCTTGTTTAAACACTTTAATATGTACCTAATAGGAATGGGTTATGTATGTTTAGAACATGGGTGTATTTTTATTATAATTTGTTATAATAATTTTGGATAAGTGTTGCTGTACAAAAATATTATAATAAATGGTAACCAAATTAAAAAAGGTGGGTAAGTGGATGTCGCTCTGCTGTACTGTAGGTTACAAGTGGGTCACTGTATAATGGATGCTATTAAATTTGAATTCAATGATACAATATATCATTGTATAAGAAAAACGATTCTGAGCGAAGACGGTATGTCAGTCTAGGTTTAAGACAAATTATATACACATCTATGGTATTAAAAAAAAAATTGACCTATAATAAATTCCAAATTAATCATATCACATTATCACAATATCCATTAGGTACTTATAACACGTTATACATCAACATCAATAACAAACCCTTATACTATCATAGATATATAATAGTACACTTTAGAAGTTTCAAGTAGGTACCCACGAATAATATTATATAATCACAACAAAATAACTAGGTTTTTTAATATGTAATTTCGTCCAAATTTGAACATAAAATGACTATAAAAATAAACTGTGATTGTATATTTTTTAGATTTTTTGGTAAGAGAATTAACTACTTACGTGGAATCTTGTTTTAAATTTTCAATCCTTAGCTATAAAAACTGAACATTTTATAATTTATTAATTACGATGATTAATAATTTTCGAGATTTTGAAAAATTCTGTCAAAATTCGATGTTTAAATGCTTATAAAAAAAAACTGTGCCTATGTATTTTTAATATTTTTCAACTGATATTGTAACAATATATCAGGAGCCTTGTATTACATTTTTACACTTTTTGGCCCAACAGATAAAACTTTATTGATATTCATAGAAAAAAAAACTAAAAAAATTGAAAAATGAAAATACCCGTAAACAGCTCAAAAAGAGTCAAAATATTTTCAAAATTGTATGGTGTATAGGAAATGCTAATATAAACATTCAGTGAAATTTTCATGTATCTATAGTTATTCGTTTATGAATAACAACAAAATAAGGAAATCGCTACATGAGAAATCGAGTGAAAATCCAATGTTGTAAAAATTTGAATTTCAAACGCTTATAAAAATTTAATTTGACTGTCCGGTAGAGATTTTTTTATTGATAAAGGTAGACAAACTTGTGAGTAATCTTGTATTACATTTTCAAATCTTAGATTTAAAAAGAAAAATTTTTACGAATTCTTAACTAAAAATAATTTGCTAATTTTCGTGATTTTTCCATATTTTGAACTTTAAATGCTTATAAAAAAAAACTGTGACCAACGATTTTTAATATTTTTCATCTGCCTTTGAAACAATATACTAGGAGTCTTCTATTAAATTTTCAAGCTTTCGCAACAAACAAATAAAATTTTATTGATATTTCTAGAAAAAAAACAAAAAAAAATGAAAAAGGTGGGCAAGTGGGTGTCGCTCTGCTGTACAGTAGGTTACAAGTGGGTCACTGTATAATGGATGGTATTAAATTTGAATTCAATGATATAATATCATTGTATAAGAAAAACGATTCTGAGCGGTGACGGTATGTCAGTCTATGTATAAGACATATTATATACATATCTATGGTATTAAACAAAAAATTGACCTATAATAGGTACCTATAATAAATTCCAAATTAATCATATCACAATATCCATTAGATAATTATAACACGTTATACATCAACAAAAACCGTGATACTATCATAGATATATAATAGTACACTTTAGAAGTTTCAAGTACCCACGAATAATATTATTCAATCACAACAAAATAACTAAAATAGTTATTCTAGGTTTTTTAATATGTAATTTCGTCCAAATTTGAATTTTAAATGTCTGTAAAAAATAAGTGTGTTCATATATTTTTTAGATTTTTTGGTTACAGTATGAACTATTTACGAGAACCTTTGTGCTGAATTTGCAATCCTTAGCTATAAAAACTGAACATTTTATAATTTATTAATTACAATGATTGATAATTTTCGAGATTTTGATAAATTTTGTCAAAATTTGATCTTTAAATGGTTCTAAAAAAAAACTGGGCCTATGTATTTTTAATAATTTTCAACTGCTATTGTAACAATATATCAGGAGCCTTCTATTAAATTTTTACACTTTTTGGCCCAACAGATAAAACTTTATTAATATTTATAGAAAAAAAAACTAAAAAAAATTGAAAGCTGTAAATGTCCATAAACAGCTCAAAAAGAGTCAAAATATTTTCAAAATTGTATGGTGTATAGAAAATGCTAATTTAAACATTGAGTGAAATTTTCATGTATCTACAGTTGTTCGTTTTTGAATTGCAACAAAATAAGGAAATCGCTACATGAGCAATCGAGTGAATATCCAATGTTGTAAAAATTTGAATTTCAAACGCTCATAAAAATTTAACTTGACTGTCCGGTAGAGATTTTTTTATTGATAAAGGTAGATAATCTTATAAGGAATCTTGTGTTTCATTTTCAAATCTTAGATTTAAAAAGAAAAATTTTTACGAATTCTTAACTCAAAATAATTTGCTAATTTTCGTGATTTTTCCATATTTTGTAAATTTTTGAACTTTAAATGCTTATAAAAAAAAATTGTGACTAAGGATTTTTAATATTTTTCATCTGCCTTTGAAAAAACATATTAGGAGCCTTCTATTAAATTTTCAAGCTTTCGCAACCAACAAATAAAATTTTATTGATATTTCTAGAAAAAAAACTAAAAAAAAATGAAAAATGAAAATGTCCCTAAACAGTTCAAAATAAATCAAAATATTTTGAAAATGTTATCGTGTATAGAAAATGCAAATATAAACAACCAGTGAAAATTTCATGTATCTACGGTCATTTGTTTTAAAGTTACACCAAAAACCAAATTCGATTTTTTGGAAAATCGATTTTGCGTAAAAATTCCCGTTTTTCCTTAATTTTTATGTTGTTTTTTCCCGGCGCTTGTGAAAACTACTGGGAAATTTATACTTTTGACCCCCCAAAGTACCAACTAGATTCACTTTCCTATCAGAAAAGGTACTATTGAAGAAAATCGAAGCACTTTTACTGTCCCAAAACGTGATGACAGACACAAAAAAAATATAAAAATATAAAAATATAAAAATATAAAAACACACATCATTGTAAAACCAATACATTCATCGCTCCGCTCAGAATCTAAAATGAAAATGTCCCTAAACAGTTCAAAATAAATCAAAATATTTTGAAAATGTTATCGTGTATAGAAAATGCAAATATAAACAACCAGTGAAAATTTCATGTATCTACGGCCATTTGTTTAAAAGTCACACCAAAAACCAAATTCGATTTTGTCAAAAACCGATTTTGCGTAAAAATTCCCGTTTTTCCTTAATTTTTATGTTGTTTTTCCTGGCGCTTGTGAAAACTATTGGGAATTTTAAATTTTGACCTCCCCAATGCACCAACGATATTCACTTTCCAATCGAACAAGATACTGAAGTCGAAAATAGAAGCATTATTTCGACTACTTATCGTGTACACAGACACAAAAATAAAAAAATAAAAAATAAAAAAATAAAAAAATAAAAAAAAAAACACACATCATTGTAAAATCAATACATTCATCGTTTCACTCAGAATCTAAAATATAAAAGTTTGGCAAGTGGGTATCGCTCTGAATTCTGATGTACATTAGGTGTCATGTGAGTCACTTTAATGGATGTGGTCAATTTGAATTCAAAGATAAAAGTCATTGTACACGATAGGCGATTTTAAGCGAAGACTGTATGTATATTACTAATAATTAATAAATTTAAAGATATTATTGATATTAAAGTTATTTATTTTACTACTAGTAATACAGTAAGGTGAATACATTTTTGCCGAAAACATTGCATTCAGTGCTCAAATTGGGAAAAATTAAGCAGAGGAGCTTAGTCCAACAATTTAAAAACTGCTTTCCAAGGGCACAATTATTCAACCAGACCATACAAAAAATAGTAGGGGTACGAAAAAAAAAATAAAAATAGGGGAGCTCCGTCACCCTGATCACCCCCCCCACCAATTCGAGCACTGATTGCATTTGAAAATGTCATTGTGTGTATAAAATCATAAGGTTGCGCAGGGGGCCCGGGGGATGCCGGGTATGCCATGGCATCCCCTGCAGAGTTATCATAACCATATAGTTTTTAGTTTTACATATTTTGATTATAAATCAGGATCATGAACTAAGAATTAAGATAGTTCATAGTATCTGACTTCAAGAATTTAAATATTTTGATTATTTTAGATTCTGAGTGAAACGATGAATGTATTGATTTTACAATGATGTGTGTTTTTTTATTTTTTTTTGTGTACACGATAAGTAGTCGAAATAATTCTTCGATTTTCAACTTCAGTATCTTGTTCGATTGAAAGTGAATATCGTTGGTGCATTGGGGAGGTCAAAATTTAAAATACCCAGTACTTTTCAAAAGCGCCAAGAAAAACAAAAGAAAAATTAAGGAAAAACGGGAATTTTACGCAAAATCG